CTTTTGAAGACTTTACTGGTGGATCCAGCAATGTCTGCCTGACATGGAGCATCCACCTCTGTTGATGGCCGGAGCATTTACACGGTATCAGTGTGCAGGGTTCTTTGTTTGTCTGTGTATGTATGTCTCTGTATGCCTATCTCTGTTTCTTTATGTCTGTGTATGTATTTCTGTGAGTGCCTGTGTCTTTATGAATGTATGTCTGTGTTTGTACGACAATGTACCTATATGTGTAGATTGTATGACTGTGTTTGTTTGTGTGCCTTTTATGACTGTGTGTCTGTATATCTTTGTGACTGTGTGCCTGAAAAATTATGTCTGTGTGCTTGTATGGTTGTGTGTCTGTATGTTTGTGTATTTGTGCATGTATGTATTTTTGCCTGTATCTATGTCTATGTGGGAGAAAAAGAGAGATAGATAGGGGCTGGCGGGGAAGTAAGAAATACATAAGAGGGGTTGTAGGAGATACACTAAAGGGATATGCAACACTAATGGGGGTAAGAAATTCAAAAGGGGGCTACGAGACACAGAGGTGAAGATGCATTGTTTATTTTTGGGGGGGGGGCGTCAAAATGCATCTTCGCCTGTGTAGTCAAAAATCGTAGCACCGGCCCTGCACAAACTACAAGGTCTAAAATAAAATTTCAATGTGAAACAATTTTAGAAGTTGGTATGTTTGTCTTGGAAGTTTAATACCCATTACAGGAAACAAAATTGCCACACAAAAGTATATATTTATATAAAGTAGACATCACAGGCTATTTACCTAAGGTTAGTTTGACACTTTTTGTATAGCCATTTCACCACCAATCTCTGCTAAATATTGGAGTAAAATTAAATTTTTTCTCTATTTTGGCATATACACATATTACAAGGTTTTTGTAATGTGTATTTCATAAACCTAGTGTGTGCTATCCCTGTACAGAACCCCATATTGTGTATACCTTTGCCCCTATTCTGTGAAGCTACAATGCCATATAGGAGACCATGCTATTTCAATTTCTATAGTTGGAATTTTCATAGATGGTCATATGTCTGATTTTGTGGCATTGTAGCCATTTTACTGTTCAAATAACCCCACAAAGGCCTTCCATGTATGTTATTAGGCATATATTATACCTTAACTTGCCACTATTTTTCACCAATTTATTTCAAATTTTGTGCTGAGAAATTTTTTTTTATTTTTTTTACCTACATGTTGCATTTTCGCTGGGTATTTCTTACATTTGATAAGTGCCATTGTCATAAATTCCCCCTACGTATGCTCAGTTACCTCTTCTGAGTAAAACAATAAGCCCAATGTATGACCTAGACACTATTTTGTGAAGTTACAGTGCTGTGAAAGAGACGTGACAAGTTCAGGTTTTTAAGTGTGAATTTACATGGAGAGTTTTAATGGGTCCGTATTCTATTTTTAAATATGTTAGCAGGCTGCTTTTTCCAACTACCCCAAAAAGGCATACTATTTCTTAAAGAAGACGCCCGGGGGTATTTCAAAAGGCAAATTTTGAACCTTAGTGTGGGATCATTTTTCCATTAGCTTGTATCAAATGTAGTGGTAATAAGCATATTTTTTTCTGCCTTTTTGGCACACAGTGAGTTTGTACTGTATATTTTGCAAACCTTATGTGTGCTACGGCTTTATAATACTTTATATGTTGCTCAGCTATGTTGTCTGAGTACAGCAATACCCCCGTATGTACCTTTGACAGGTATATGTGGACGTTGAAGGGGCATATTTCAGACACAGCCATTGCAGGTTTTTTCAAACTTTGAATTTTTACGCTGTGTCCATACCCCACTTTAGAGTTTTTTAGCAGGCTATATATTCCAACTATCCCATAAAAGCATACTATTTCTTAAAGAAGACATCCCAGGGTATTTCAAAAGGCATATTTTGAACCTTAGCGTGGGATCATTTTTCTGCTAGCTTGTACCAAGTGTAGTGGTAATAAGCATTTTTTCTGCTTTTTTGACACACATAGTGAGTTTGTACTGCATATTTTGCAAGCCTTATGTGTGCTATGGCTATATAATACTTCCTATCTTGCTCAGCTATGTTGTCTGAGCACAGCAATACCCCCATATGTACCTTTGCCAGGTATATGCAGACATTGAAGTGGCACATTTGAGACACAGCCATTTAAGTTTTTTCAAACTTTACATTTTTACGCTGTGTCCATACCCCACTTTGGAGGTTTTTTTTGGAGGTTAATTATTCCAGCTAACCCATAAAGGCATACCATTTCTTAAAGAAGACACCCTAGGGTATTTCAAAAGACGTGTTTTGAACCTTAGCGTGAAATAATTTTTCTGCTAGCTTATACCAAGTGTAGTAGCAATAAGCATTTTTTTATGCCTTTTTGACATACTCAATGAGTTTGTAATATATATTTTGCAAACCTTATATGTGCTACAGCAGTATAATACATCATATGTTGCTCCGCTATGTCATCTGAGTACAGCAATACCCCCGTATGTACCTTTACCAGGTATATGATAACGTTGAAGGGGCACATTTGAGACACAGCCATTTAAGTTAGAATTTTTACGCTGTGTCCATGCCCCACTTTGGAATTTTTTTAATAGGTTGTGTTTTCCAATTACTTCACAAAGGCATACACCCCAGGGTGTTTCAAAAGGCATATTTGAAACCTTAACGTGGTATTATTTTTTCACTAGCCTGTACCAAGTGTAGAGGTAATACGCATTTTCCCCCTTTTTTAAACTTTTTAAAACTTTTTAAAAGTTTTTTTTACCTTTTTAGAAGTTTTATTTAGCTTTTAACAACTTATTTTACTATTTTAAAACTTTGTTTAAGCTTCAAAAAGTTTTTTTCACTTTTAATTGTTTTTCTTTTAACTTTTAACCCCTAACTAGCCTAACCAAAAATCCCCCAATTTCCCCACTAACTTCTACCCACCCTAGCTAAATAAATAAATAGTTTAAAATATTTAAATTAATTAAATACATTTAACCCCTGAGGATTATAAAAATACTGTGATCTGTATTTTGATCACTGCCGGCAGTGATCAAAGGGCAGGAAAGGGATAAAAGTTTATTTGAAAGAGGTGAGGGGGGTGGGATTTTGTAACTAACTTTTTTTTTCTTGCAGAGAGAGACAGATCAGCACCGATCTGTCTCTCTGCAGTTCACAGCTCACATGGAGCTGCAGGGAAACAGATCGGGTTTCACTGCAGCATGTGTGATCGCTCTGACACCCGGTCAGAGCGATCACATGGGCTGAATCAGTGAAACAGCCCATGGTAGTGTGCCTCCGATATGGAGACACACTACAGGAAGATTAACCCCACGATTGCCGTGATTGTGGCAATCAGGTGTTAATTTTCATTTTGGACGGAAATTTTCCGTCCAGCGTCCTTAAGGGGAGTGCTGCAATGACGGAAAATTTCCGTCCAGCGTCCTTAAGGGGTTAATGAATAAAAAAATTTTTTTTAAAAATTGCATATATGGATATCGGAAGTTAGCCAATCTGAAGCTGCATGGAACTCGTTATTATCAGGGTATGTGTAATTGCCAATCCCAATATGGCGCCACATTCATCAATCATCCAGTATTATGATATCCTCTCTTAAGAAGAGGCTTTTCTCCCAATAATGTGCATCCTATAACTTCAGAGGTTCTGCCCCCGGCCACCTTAATCTATCTGCATCCACTTTTACTTAGATCCATCCGAGTCAGTCTCCATCGAGAAGCGGAAGTGCCACAAATAAGTCCCACGAGTCCAATCGCGACATGTCACTTCCGTTTCAATGTCTGCCGTAATAATGGCAATGATGCGAATAAGTCCCATAAGTCTCTTTTTGATGCATGTCACAACTGGTTCGGATGAAAAAGTCCAGGCCTATTTGGCAGACATACAGTTGTGCTAAAAATTTTGCATACCCTGGCAAAAATTGTGAAATGTTGGCATTTATTTTGAAAATGTGACTAATCATGCAAACAATTTTTTATTTTATTGAAGGATAGTGATCATATGAAGCCATTTATTATCACATAGTTGACTCCTTTTTAAATCATATTAATAACAGAAATCACCCAAATGGCCCTGATCAAAAGTTTACATACCCTTGAATGTTTGTCCTTGTTACAGACACACAAGGTGACACACACAGGTTATTTTCTAAATTGCAAATAGTTTCTGTGTATAAATATTCAATGAGTTTGTTAGCGCTCACATGGATTCACTGAGCAGGCTAGATACTGAACCATGGGGAATAGAAAAGAACTGTCAAAAGATCTGAAAAAACAAGGTAATTGAACTTTATAAAGATGGAAAAGGATAGAAAAAGATATCCAAAGCCTTGGAAATGTCAGTCAGTATAGTTCAATCACTTATTAAGAAGTGGAACATTTGGGGATCTCTTGAGGCCAAGACAAGGTCATGTAGAACAAGAAAGACTTCAGCCACAACTGCCAGAAGAATTGTTGGGATACAAAGAAAAACCACAGGAAACTACAGGGGAAATACAGGGTGCCCTGGAAAAAGATGGTGTGGTTCTTTCTTTCAAGGAGCACAAGAGTTAATTTTATTTTTTTCTTATATCTTAAAAGATTGCTCCTATCAATTTGTCCAACCTTCTCTAAATCTTTTTTTGGGGCTATTATCATCCTATACTTTCTTCCAAAATTGTTATTTTATGATGGATGATTGAGCTAAAAAAATCATTATGGTCTTTACAGTTCCCTTAGTCTTTAACATTTGCTCTCTATTAGTGAGCCATTGTCGATAATGGCAACTGTCCATATCTGTATAGCTGATCGATGCGTTTTAAATGGGTCTGAGTAAAAATAGTATCATTTAAAACATAAATATCTAAATCGAAAACAAATTGTATTTTAAATTCTAATGGTACGGGTTAACTTAATCCACCAATCATTAGGAAATTCAAATTATTTTTAAAAAGTATTAAACTCCTTGATGGATCCCTTCCAAACAATACAAATGTCATCAAAGGGGGATTGGGGGGCGCAGCCAGCTGCCTAACTGAACAGACGCGTACTGCAGGTGCTCCGGCTAAACTACCCAAACTACCCAATACACCAGTTTTTATCCCTGATCGAAACAGAAGGGAGCCACTGCTGCCTTTTACCATGGGGCATAATAGTAAGAAATATAGGGCAGACAGGCCCCCGTCTACCTCCGATATCGGCTGTCTACTATGGAGGCCACAAACCTCCACGAAGCCTGTCATGGTGCCTCTCTCGGATGAACCGTCATACACGTCCATCGAAACGTCCCTAACTGACCTGAGGGAGTTGGAGGGGAAGACCAGAGGCAAGAAAGCTGACAGGCCCCCAGAACCAGCCACAGGGTCCCTGGTGACAGAAGATACACTGAAGTCTCTACTGGACGAATTACGCCACAATATCGCTGCAGACATCTCCGTGTTTAAAGAAGAGCCCCGCAGAGTCTCGGTCTGCCTGCATGACACAGAGGTGGCCACAGCTGCCCACGAGTCACAGCTTACTGACTTAGAACAGGAATTGTCATTGCTACGGCGCGACCAGGCCCAGCTTTATTACCACATGGCAGCAATCGAAGATCGGAGAAGGTGGAAGAATGTGAAGGTATGTGGCCTCCCAAATAACATTGCTACAGCAGAGATTCCTCACCTGATACGGAAGCTTTTCACAGATCTATTTTCTGTCAAACAGGCTAAATTGATGACCCTAGATGGTTGCTATGGGCTCCCAGCACCTCCAGCAGGCTCGACAGGGGTGAACAGAGATGTAATAATCCGCTTCCAAAATGGGCCTGACAAGCATGCGTTTATGACCGCCATTCACAGTAAGTCGCCTTACAGCTACGAAGATCATTAGCTGACATTCTTCCCAGATTTGTTTAGAACAACCCTGGACTGGCTCAGGTCCATGAGACCTTTAACCATGGAACTCATAAAGCATAAAATGATCTCCTGATCCCCCACTACTCCGGTACATTGAAGGTCATGGAGGCCTCAGAAATCTCAGACACACTCCAGAAGATCAGGCTAATACAGAGGGATCACTGTCCGCAGCTCCAGCCCCAAAGTCTACCACCTGGGACCCCGCAAAGGTTCGTCCATTTTTGCCAGCTGCACTGAGGGGAAGTCCTGCAACCGCAGCGGTCCCCTGAACTGTCAATAACCACCACCATTTATTTTGTTTTGTTTAGTTTGGTTTTCTTACGATATTCTTCTATGTTTAAACTAACCTTAACATACATACTTATCCACACTAATATGCTGTCATCATACGGAAAGCCCTTTAGGACACATTCCTTCTCTTTATACACCCGCTGGCATGGGAGTCATACCCCTCTTAATCCCCCCCCCATTCACCCACCTATCTGACCATTAAACATCGATTACACATCCAACATTGTGGGTGATAGGCTCTAGCCCAGCCACAGTGGCATTCATACAAGTTCAAATGTCAGATGGCAAGAGGAACATAGATCATGCTACCCCTTTAAACCTAACTCTAACCTACAATACATCCTGTAGGGATAGTGGGCTTAGTCTCAGCTGTTTGAAGTTAACCTATACTTAATTGCTTTTGCATGATGTACAATGTTATCTTTTATTTTTTACTTTATTCATGCCTGTACAATGCCTGCATCCAATGTGGATTAAGAATAAAGAAAAAAAATGTTTTTAATAAATACATTTTAAAAAAATGTAATCGATGTAGTGTTTACAGAGGACCAAATTTGAACCGAGGGTATGGCCTGATCTATACTTCTACTTACTTCTTCATAGAATGCAATTAGGATAGTTTGATATGACCTGTGTTTCATAAAACCATGCTGATTATTGCTATTAACACTGTTCTTCCCAATGAATTCCTGAATATTATCAATTAATAACCCTTCAAATACTTTCCCAGCCACAGAAATTAAGCTCACAGGTCTATAATTTTCAGGCAAAGATTTTGAACCATTTTGGAATATAGGATCCACATCCGGCTTCTTCTAATCCTCTGGTACAATTCCTGGAAGAAAAGAATCATTAAAGATTAAATACTGAGGTTCACTTATTTTAACACTTAGCTCCTTAAGTAGTCATAGGTGAATACTGACAGCCTTCGGAGCTTTATTTACATTAACTTTCTTTAGCTGCTGTAGCACCTTGTCTTGAGTCATCCAATCACAATTTTTCTGCAAGTTTTTTGTAGCAATCATTTGCATATCTCTTTCCATAGGATCCTCCTTAACATATACAGAGGAAAATAGCTATTTTACATTTCTGCCTTTTCCTGGTCTTCATTAACTGTTATGCCCATCTCTGTTATCAGTGTACCTACACTTTCATTTTTTAAATTTTTTTTTTAGAATTTATGTACTTGAAAAATGTGGGTGGTTGTTTTGCTCTCTTTGGCTATCAGCTTCTATTTTTCTCGTTTAGACACTCTAATTACCCTTTTGCATGCATTATTAGCTTCTGTATATGATATAGGATGCCTCTAATGTGTCTGATTTAAATGCTTTAAAAGCCCTTTTCTTATTTTTAATCACTTTGTTTACTTTCCCACTGAGCCACACTGGTTTTAATTTATTTTTTTTATATTTATTATCCCAATGGTACATACTGACAAATGTATCTTTCTAGTATTTGTTTGAAGATATTCCATTTATCCTCAGTGTTTTCTCACTAAATAGTTTAGGCCAGTCAATATGTTGTGAAGCTTCCCTTATGCTATTGAAATTGCCTTTTTAAAATTATATGTTTTAGTATACTCCATGTGCTTTTGCTTTTTTGAGTTTATTTCAAAAGACACCATATTGTGATCAAAATAAAAATCCAATGTACATCATATAAATATATAAAATATGTAATTATACATATATCTTAGAGACACAGTGGGAAAAAACCAAATGCAAGCAAAATCGATTTACTAAGAGTCAGAAATTATGTAAGAGAGAAAATCATGAAGAATACTTAACTGTCTGAAGGAGCAGCAAAGAAAGAGCAGTAGCTTCTACTGTTGATTTGTGCTTGGTTTTGGTATTTCTTTCTTTAGTTCTACCTATTTGTTATTAAAACATTTGCTGCTGTGAGTAGTAAAGAAAGATATAAGTTTTAAGCATATTATGAGCCTTATTCTCAATATTTACAGACTATTTGCAATGAACAAATCAAACAAAAGCAATTGAAATAGCTCATCACAACAAGTGGTTTACCAAAATTCAACTGAAAATGCAACTTAAAATTAATTCTTCATTTTCAAAATTATTCAGCCCCTTCATTGGAAGCATATTTAGTACTTAGTAGATCACCCTTTTTCTATTATGACATGCTGCAAAGAAGATGCATAGCCAGCTTCTGACAGCGATCCTGAGGTATCTTAGCCCATTGCTCATGAGCAATAGCCTCACGTTCAGTAATATTCTTGGGTTTGCATGTTGCAACCGCCTTCTTCAAATTCCACAAGTCAGGTGATTGTGATGGCCACTGTAGAATTTTCCAGGATTTCTTCTGCAATCATGCCTTGGTGGAATTTGAGGTATGTTTGGGATGATTATCTTGGTGGAAAGTCCAATGATGCCCAAGCTTTAGCTTCCTCACAGACGACATCACATTTTCTCCTAGGATTTCCTGATACTTCAATGAATCCATCTTGCCTTCCACACACTGCAGTTTTCCAGTGCCAAAGGATGCAAAGCAGCTCCACCATGCTTCATTTTCCTTCCTCCAGACATACAACTCATGCATTGTGCTGAAAAGTTCCAGTTTTGTTTCATCGCTCCACAGAACAGAAACCCTTATGTATATGATTTTGAGCATATTAGAGCCAACTTGTTTAGGGGGTCAGTAGTAATGTACATCTTGGTATACTGGCATGGAAACTTTCTGCATTTAGTACACTCCTTACTTTTCTAAGTGAAACCTTAATGCTTTTTTCAACCAAGTCTTGCTGCATGTCTTTTGCAGTTACTCAAGGGTTTTTCGCAATCTGCCTTTCCAGAAATCTGGTTGCAGCCATTTATATCTTTCTTTTCCTGCCCCATCCAGGTAGTGTAACTACAATTTTTGAACTTGTTTCCCTTGAACTTTGAACTTGTGAACTATGCTTCCAACAGTGTCATATGAAAATTTCAGTTCTTTTACTATCTTTTTGTATTATGTTCCTTGTTTGTGAAGGACGATGATATCCTCTGTTAACTTTGTGGACCATTCTTTTGACTTACATTTCTAACATGCAGTTAAACACGATACTACAATACAACAAACCCCTAGCCAATTTAGATATTTCAAGTGTTCCAGCTCAAGCACACGTGGTGCAACTAATGAAGCCCTTGTTTTGAATATTTGTGCAGTTGTAAAGGGATTATATTCAGGGGGTTGAATGATTTTGAGATTAGAGTAGCCATTTTGGATTTTCAATTGAAATTGGGAAATTCACTTGAAGCATTCGTTGTGTTGAGCAATTTCAATTGCTTTTGCTTGATTTGCTCATTGCAAACAGATGAAAGTCTTAAAATTTTGACAATAAACCTGATTTTCTATGATGTTTGAATAATTTTGATTACAACTGTAAATGTTGGTTTTCAAAAACTGACTGACCCAAAGTGCATGTATATGGCTGTTGTATATTGAACGTTTAAATTTTTTAAAATATTTTATTATTAAATATAATATTATATATTATATTTTATACTTCATTTAAAATTTCCTGAAAGTATTATTATATTAAAAAATAATCTTGATGTGGCAGTTGTCCTTAAACCCTGCAATGTAAGCAGTGCCATATCTACTAAATGACAATGTTTTAAATTGCAAGGTTAAAACTAAAGGACCACTGCACCAAAACCATTTCATTAAGATGAAGTGGTCTTGCTGGCTTCAGCGGCCCTGTAACTGCACTGTGGTCAGTCTAAGGCACACCTGTGCAATAATCATGCTGTCTAATCAGCATCTTGATATGCCACACCTGTGAGGTGGGTGGATTATCTCAGCAAAGGAGAAGTGCTCACTAACACAGATTTAGACAGATTTGTGAACAATATTTGAGAGAAATAGGCCTTTTGTGGACTTAGAAAAAGTCTTAGATCTTTGAGTTCAGCTCATGAAAAATGGGGGTAAAAACAAAAGTGTTGCATTCGTAATTTTGTTCAGTATATAATGAATAGGGAAAGGTATTGAATAAATCTGCTTGCCACTAATTATCAGAGGATCATTGTTAATCATGACAGTCAAAATAAATATCAGGACAAACTTAAAGGAACTCTATAGTGTTAGGAATACAAAGCTGTATTCCTAACACCATAGTATCCATAAAAAAAATAAAAAAAAACACAATTCAAAGAAATGCAGTGTAAATACAAACTTTTTGGTTGAGCACTCTGCCCTGCCCCCCAGCTTCAGAGGTCCCTTTGGAGGTGACCACAAACTTAAAGGAACTCTATAGTGTTAGGAATACAAAGCTGTATTCCTAACACCATAGTATCCATAAAAAAAATAAAAAAAAACACAATTCAAAGAAATGCAGTGTAAATACAAACTTTTTGGTTGAGCACTCTGCCCTGCCCCCCAGCTTCAGAGGTCCCTTTGGAGGTGACCACAGGAAAGCATAAATTGCTTAGTATGGACGCTCGACGACCAAGTCCCGCTGCCTTTGTCCCGAACAAACAAGATGGCTGCCGTTTTCTCCGCCATGTGGCATTCGTATATACGAATGGCGGCCACCCTAAGAGAGAGAGCGCTTAATTGACGGGCTCCTTTGAAGTCAATGAGCCAGGAGGGTGGTCGGTGTTTGGTAGTTTCAATCTACCGAACTAATGTGGCATAAACTAACCGAATAACTAAACAGACGAATGCTCAGATAAAACCCTGAACTCC